TAAAAAAAACCAAGAAACGTAGACTCTTGGTATTCATTACACATAAACTAGCGAGCCCCAGAATGAGAAACAAATTTTAATCATTATTATTGACGGATTAGTAAACTTTTTACACGCTTTGGAAAATCTCAGAAGTTCGCGGTAGTCACTTTTCGGTAAGGAACTAGGGGACTCGGTTATTGTATCGAGGGGGGGGGTCGAAACGATCGCAAAGGCGGTATACTACGTATACGCGCCAAAAGAACACATTGGATCTAGAGTCCAGACTCTTAAAAACATCGACAAGAAAAAGTACTCTTGATTCGATCAGAATCTAGCTTAAATCAAGAACCAATCCTCTTAATTTAAGCAGATTTCGTTTTGATGCAAGCAAAAATCCGATTGAATCAAGAGTATTTTTTCTTGTCAATGTCAAGAGTCCGACTCTAGATTCAATGTGTTTTTTTTCCCCGTGTGCAAGTTTTCCCTAAATTTTGTGAGGGGATGTCCGACTCACTTTATTCCCTCTGAAAAAAAATCCGGAAGCTGTACTTACGGGCTACGTAGATATACTGCCCGCGTTCCGGCTTCAAAGGCCAAAAATTCCGGGTAGCACCCGGAGCAGTCCAAACAACGGCTCCAGCCAGCACTCGGAACTCTCGGCTCCAGAGCCCGGAACAGACGGTATGTTTCTCCGCACAGAGGAGAGAAAACAAGAGAGATCTCAAGAAATTATGCTGAGATGTTTTCCATTTAAAAAATAAAGTATGACGGGAAGTCTACAACGTCGAACACCGAGGCATGGGGTCTGCATGGCAGCTTCACCATCGACATGACATCATGTTGACGTCAACATGTTACTACGATTTAGGTCACCGTTGATAACTCTGACCTATATGGAATCACGTTGGTAAAATGTTCTTACCATGTTCACTCAATTCACCAACATGGTAATTTTTAGCAGGATGACACCCTTAGTAACTATAAAACAGACGTATCCGTCATTCATTGTTCCGTCTGCCATGTAAATGGAAAAGGACCCTGCGCCATCTTGCGAGAAATCGATTCATTTCGTCTCGACCGGGACGACGAGGGCCATTCATATTCCGCGCGGCGCACAGCCCTAACCGTTGGCGTCGTCGTCGTGGGTTCAGCGCTGCTGTCATAGCGAATAGAGCAGTAAGTGCATTCTGGGATGAACCTCGAGACCTATAAAAGCACGTGTTAACCATGGCTCATACAGACATGCACTTAAACTGCTCTCTTGGCTATGACGGCAGAACAGCTGGGCCGGCACGGGGACGGTCCACTTGCGCCGGGAGCGCTGCGAGAGGGAGACAGGCAAACAGGATGCGGTTGTTAAGGCTAAGGGCCGGAGCGGAGCGCTAGCGTGCAGTGATTGACAAGCCGGCGAGCATTTTTCAGCTCAAATATGAGCAACATGTGTATGCATCATTTGCGAGGTGATTTAAATCAGAGAAGAGCGAGAGCCATAAAACGGTGCGGCCCGGAGGGGGAGCGGCGAGGGAGGGGGATGGAAACATGCAAAATCGCATGAGCGGCTCGAGTATCATTTGCCGTAACACCGTTCCGAGCCGGGATTTAAAGGAATTAGCGAGCCACTGATGGAGTGCTCGGCCGCGGACCCGCGCGGATACTAGGAAAAAGCGCGCCGCGCGCAGCCTCCGCACTCGGACGCGCGGCCAGGGCTGCCGTCCCGCGAGAAAGAGTCCCCGTTACGCGCGCGCCGCGGCTCACGCACTACACCGAGAACCGAAATTTTCCCTCCGGCCGCCGGCCGTCGGGAAATCACCGTTTCCCGCTTCGTTCCCCGGCGCATGTTCTACACGCACCGTTTCCGCCTTGTTTCCTATTTTTACGTTCCTTGTACTCTGAAAAAAGAGTTACGGGCTACATAAATATACCGTCTGTTCCGGGCTTGGAGGCCGAAAGTTCCGGGTGCCGGAGCCGTAGCTTAAACACGCCACGTCCGGAACTTTCGGTCTCTAAGCCCGGAACGCGGACGGTATGTCTATATAGATCGTATTCGATACATCAAACGGGTGAGATTGTATCGATATCGATTGGTTCAAAACATAAACATAGCCTCAAAAGTAAATTCAGAAATCTGAGAGAACGGATCTTTTGAAACAGATTTTTTATTCTTTTGAGTACGAAATGCCAATGCAAAGTGAAATTGTCAGGAAATTTCTCATTTTCAGCTTTTCCAATTAAAATCCTTACAGTTTGGTTTGAGGTTATGTTCTATTGTTTTGAACCAAACGATACATCGAACCGTTATCGAATACGGTCTATAGCCTCCTGTACGTACAGCTTCCACGGCCGGAGTTCTTTTTGATCAGTGTAGGTTTCTAGTCATCGAACTCTCGTGGATGTCTCGCTGGCTGATACGCGGAAACAATATATTCGGAAAACTTCGTCGTTCTCCGGACGAAAGAACGTAACTCCACATCAAAGTTACCAAATTGACTCTAACAATTTAATTTATCACACGAATAAATATGCAAAATTTTCGTCAAACATTCGTCTGATTTTTACATGAGATCAGAGAAAAAATCGGTGAAATTTTCGATTAGAAATGCCCAAAATTCTCTTGGCAAAAATGCAGATTGCGAGGGGAAATTTGACAATATTGAAATGTAGCTATGTTCTTTCGTGAGGATATTGCCGAATTGGAAGGTCGCGCCACGCCGATGATGAAACTGTTGACTTGTGTTCTGAAGGGACACCTGGAGACTTGAACGCTGGGATAGAAAGATTAACTATCTTTGAATAGTATAATCAATTCATTTGTAAAGTAATACCCAGAACGACGAGGTTATTGGAGAGGAAACTTTCTATCGTTATTATTTATTCTTTAACATTATTCTTAGAACAGAAAGCTCGCTTTCCTTCTATTAATATTGAGAAAAATTCTGTACTTCATAATTCTCTGACAAGAATTCTCGTTGAGTCAACTGGGTTGATTTCCTGCTCATTCAGCTCCTGAGGGTTCCTAAAGATTTAAGCCACGCTGACGCCGAAATTGTTGGCTCGCGTTGCCAAGGGACATTTGGAGACTTAAACGCTCGGATAGAAAGATAAACTATCGTGAACCGTATAATTAATTCTCTTGTAATGTAGAATCCAGAACAGCGAGGTAATTAGAAGGGGGTTTACCTACTGCATGCGTCATTCTCGGAACAGAAGGCTCGTAAATTTTAGAGACCTGCCAAGTTCTGTATGTTCTTGATGCAGATTTCTGAGTATTTTGACTCTCATGAAGGCAAAATTGATTGAATCACATATTTTTCTCCAATTAAGCGAGGCGAAATTTTTCGTGTAATTTTTTTATCGTCACACTAGGTCATACAGATTCGCATAACGGACTAAAATTTTCTTCGGTAAGATGTGCAATACCACCGTCAAGATAAGTTGTCACATACAAATCGGGAGCCCTAAATGCAGAGACAAGAGACCCTCCACTGGCCTCCCGGCGACAGGTGGATACTTTCACTTCCGAGGATTCAACAATTCCTAATGGACAATTATAAGGGAGCAACAGTCATTACCCCAATTTCGGCTGTTGAACTATCTACGTGGTGGATGATGAGCTTTGGGTGACGTCATGAGCCAAACAGGTTCCCCAAACTTCGGCCATT